TCAATTAACTAATACAGAATTATACTTGTGTATTTACGTCGTCATTGTCCCACGATCTTGATAAGTCCGTGCACTTGCAAAATATGTACTTAGAAATCAGCTTATACAGTAATGTTTTTTTTTACATATATCTCTCTCTCCCTCTCTCTCTCTCTTTCTCTCGCTCGCTCGCTCGCTCGCTCGTTCGATCGTTCGTTCGTTCGTTCGCTCTCTCTCTCTCTGCATCACCGGATAGAACTCTACATTTTGTCTTTGTTTTCTCACGAGTAAAAAAGCTTCTCTTTCTCTTTGCTGTATACGTTTCTAATATAAGCATGTTTATAGATATGATAAGATACCGTTTTCAATCTATACAATTCCCTCGATTTCGCCCCCTCCCCCCTAAAGTTCGTACGGTCGCCCGATTACGAGGAAATTACGAGGTTATGTATTACCTAAGATTTATCGTGAACAATCAGGTGTCGTTTTGGTGACGTCTCTCTCTACACGACTCGTCTGTAAATTAACGATACCACTTCGTAATTAGCACCCGCATTCTCTTCATATTCTCCTCGTATTCTCTAAGCTAAGTCTTACGTCATAATTTCACTTAACGACGGACTGTGTGTGTATTTTTTTTTTTTCGATGGCATCTCGATATATAATCTCATCACGCGTATCAAACTCCGCGCTTAGAAATAGTCGCATTTATAGAAATAGTCGTATAATATCAGAGAGCGGAGACGCGAGTTGCGAATGAGAGACAATCGTGTTTTTTTCTTTTTCTTTTTCTTCAAATTGCAAAGCAAGACATATTACGCTTGGTCAATTATACAGTGAGAATCGTGATAAGAGGGCCGTGTGCCATCGTCACTGAGAATCTCGCGCGACTTCGGCCGGCACTCGAGAAAAACGCCCCCCTCTTTCTTTATCTCTCTCTTTCTCTGCGTTCGCGCAGCTGTGTCTGCGACTTTTCGCAGCGAAATCGGAGACAAAAATATACGCGAAGTGGCCGCACGAAGCTCACGGCGTCTTCCAATTTCTTTAATTTTATATCGGTATTATCCAAGGAGTACCTTTCGACAACAATGAATTCGAAGAACGTCACATAGGCAGCTCACTTTGCGAAGAATTAATGCAGGAGTCGTTGAAAAGAAACAAAAGATGAAGAAAAAAGGACTAAGAATTCGTGCGGCGATTTTTATTGATCTTGCGTGTTCGCATAATTGAATCGCAAGAGCGCGCCTAAACTATGACGTAAATTGCGCGAAGATGCCTGAAAATTATCGAATACTCTCTATCTTGCTTTTAGATTTTCTCTCGTTCTTGCAAACCTCTTCTTCCGACGTGCCATGACTAAATTGAAATGTTTCTCTTTCACACGGAGTTTACACGCCAAATCTTACACACGTTTCGCGAAAAATAATGGCACTCTCTCTTTCTTTCCCTTACTTTTTCTCTCTTTTTTTCTCCCTTTCATCCCCTCATTCTCTCTCTCTCTCTCTTTCTCTCACTTTCTCTTTTCTTCTCTCACTCTCTCTCACGCGCAGGGCACAGATGTAATTATTTACTAATTCACAGTTGTTTCATGCATATGCATGTGCATGCTCGCTGAAAATGTATCTTCGCGAGTGTTCGAGGTTCACGCGCGAAGAAAGAGATCGAACACATAGCATAGATAATTAAGATATAAAATCGATCACAAGCATTTACGCACTTCTTACAGAGATTTATAAAGCCTCTTAAACGTTTAATGGCATCCACTGTTTGTTCACTTTTTTTTCTCCTTTTGTACAAAATCAGTACGAAACAGAATTTTTGCCGCGACCGCGTCCCGTTCACGCGAATTACAATGGGCGGTTTGTGTTTTCTCTGTTCTTTTCTTCCTCTTCTCCCCCCCCCCCCTTTCCCGCGAATTTGTCCGGAAAGTCGGCGAGTGGTCGCGCCGGTGTTGCGCACGCTCACGCGAATGAAATCTCCACAAACGAAGTTTTTTTATCGAACGAAGCTATAATCTGTAATTATCCGGGCATACAGTAGCATAATCGTCAATATCGGCGTGACGATATTGCGATAGTCCGTTCCGTTTCCGGTGGATTGCTAATTCAATGAAAGCGACCGAAGAAACTAGATGCGTAGGAATCGATGTATCAGTCTGCTTCGTACTTGAAAAGTATGGTACACACGCCTGCTCCGCGTCTTCTATATCGTAATGATTAGCTATTATTATTTTTTTTCTTCGGATAAGTCACTGAACGAAGCTCGGAGAAGCCAAGTAACGCGGCGACAATACGATGATCGATGGGTGAATGATCGATGGACAAAAAAATTGCGGAGAAAAAGAAAAAGGAAAAGCATACGCGAAATTCGTGTTTTTCAATCAATTACGTCGGCGTGCGTTTTCACCGTTTCGACATTAATTCTAAAAAGCAATGAAATTAAATCAGACCGAGTTCACGTGATCCACGAAGAATGCGGAAATCGTCGGCGACGATGGTGTCGTGGTAATGAGTCAACGAGAATTTAACGCAAACATGTTCACCCATTCAAACCAGCGCGTACTTTGTTTCTTTATCGCATATTTATATATATTATATATAGTTATTATATTATTTACATTAAATATTATACGCTCTCTCTCTCTCTCTCTCTCTGTCGATGACATTTTGGACTAAAAATTTGACAACAATAAATGTCCTTTGGCCGATCGTATCGGAGATCGGCACTTAGTACTTGAACGGATATATATATATATATATATATATATATATATATATATATATATATATATATATATATATATATATATATATATATATATATATATATATATATATATATATATATATATATATATATATATATATATATATATATATATATATATATATATATATATATATATATATATATATATATATATATATATATATATATATATATATATATATATATATATATATATATATATATATATATATATATATATATATATATATATATATATATATATATATATATATATATATATATATATATATATATATATATATATATATATATATATATATATATATATATATATATATATATATATATATATATATATATATATATATATATATATATATATATATATATATATATATATATATATATATATATATATATATATATATATATATATATATATATATATATATATATATATATATATATATATATATATATATATATATATATATATATATATATATATATATATATATATATATATATATATATATATATATATATATATATATATATATATATATATACATACTGTTCAACATATTTTTTCTTGTGTTTTCCTTTAATTTCTCCCACATGTCGACCGTAGTCCGGTCCGGAGCGTTCGCGCCACCCCATCATTTTCACTTCTCGCGCTCGTGGATTTTCTTATTCACTTAACCATTTAGATTCACCTTTAAACCGAGCGCGATAGCGTTTTACATTCGTATGTTACCTAATACACCACATTTGAGTTCACATCTATCCCGTGCTCGTTCGATTTGGTTTGCTTTCACTGCAAATAAAACAAACGTCTGCGTTAATTGGATTGCAAATATGCGAGATGCGTTGTGCGAGGCGTTTTATCTGAATCGTGAAATATTGAGTGATGTCCGAAAGATTCTGCGATATTCTCGCTTGGCGTCAAGTGTCATTACTGTTAGACTCATGAGAGCGTACGTAAATTCTCGTGCGTAGTCCGCCGCGCGAGATCCCTCCCTCGGCACCATTCAATATTTCAGATCGACTGGCATCTCAAAAACATCTCGATAAAATTTACAAGAGGATACATAGGACTCCGAATATATGGACGGTACGGACTTACCTTCGCTTAATTTTTCTATATCTTTTTTTTTTCTATCGACAAATCTTAATATACTGAAAAATGCCACGATTCTCTATATAGATTTACAAAAAAGAAAAAAAAACGAAAGGGCGAGTCAATGAAAGAATGAAATACTATTGTGCAAAGTCTTAGAATTCATTAGGCGATATGTGTGTGTGTGTGTGTGTGACTGTGTGTGTGTACCAAGCAATATCAGGAGGTCAATATGTGGTCAATAGTTCTTACGGGCAAAGGAAGATATCGAGATATTACAAAGTGCAGAGGTAGAAAAAATTCAGAGGTATACCAGTGGAAAATCGTTTTCTGCGACGTGTCAGCTGTCGCAGACGGAGGCGTGTCGCTTCTATAGAGTTCGGAAAGGACGGTAAAAAGTCGAGACATATGCAGACAGGTGTTATCGGGACGGCGAAGCTTCGAGCGCACGCGATAACGCGATATTCGTTCGCGTCTCGTCGTTTCTCGGTTATCGAGTGCGCGAGTCGCAACTTCGCGTTCTTTCACGCAGGATAGAAGAGATACGCTTTCAAAGAGAAGAGAGGAGGAGATACTTCAATACAGAACGTGTGGAGAGATGGAAGAGAAAGATATTGGCAACAACAAATGCACCAAGATTTCACATGGGTACTCGAGAAAAAGTGCCGGCGGAGCTTCGCGGAGCCGTCTTGACGCGAGAGAGACGTCGAGACGGCGCTACGTCGCCGCGTTCGGCCACCGAAGTCATTATCGGTCTGGACATCGCCGTGTCCGAATGTTAATTACGAAATACTCATTACACACGTTCGCAGTATATTCGGACGTCAAACGCGAGCAAACGCTGCGATCGCGTGTCATGATCGAGTGCGCAATCGTAACGATATTATCTGGTCCTTTTTTTCCTTCTCTCATTTGTTTTTCTTTCTCTTTCTTTATCTTTCTGCTTCTTATCTTATCGTCTTTTCTTTAGTGTACCCACGTTAAATCGTTGTCCAACTATCTACGAAATGCCTTGATCTCAGTGCATACCTAAAACTATCTGGCGCTCCGGGAACATGGCTGCTACGTCTACATCTAGTCTACATACAGACTAGTGGCTCGTCTGATATGCCGTACATGATATGTGATGTACTAGTGGTGTTTCTAGAAAGACATATCCTTTCGTACGTTCTCTCGCTCCGTTCGCATTGCCGCATCTCGGTTCTTGCGCGAAAAAGAGCGCGCCTGGCTCTTCGATCGCGTGCCGCTCCCGCGAAAATTCCCGCGATCCGTAACAATTTATTCTTTCTCTGTAGCCCCTTTCCCTCCACGAAGCCGGAAATACGCGGAATCGCGAAACTCTAGCGTAATTCGGTGTAGCAATTATCTAATCTGATGGTAATTTATTCAGTAAATTATGGTAAATTACCCGGTAATTTTGTAAAGCTGGTAAAATGGTAATTTAGAAAAAAATCACAGAAATAAAACATTGGTGTAAAGCACAAATGGTGCATTTAGCCTTTGAGATGAATAAAATACTAAGAATGTTATAATTTATTTAACTCATATTTTCCATGAAATATTTTGATATTATGTATTGATATACTATATATAGCATATAATAATTGGGAAAGTAAGTACACAACACTAGAAAAACTAACATTTTTTTATGTAAATTATGTATAAAGACAGCAGGCCGAGGAAATTTCAGCGATAATAAGGCTTGTTTTCACATGCAATTTTAGCAATTCATGAGGAAAAAGGCCTCATATGAGGATGCGCTCATAATAGTCAATCAACTTGCGACTTTTACGGAAAAGCAGCAAATTGATTGGCTACATCGCTACATGTTTCCCGAATTTCCTAATTTTTAGCAAAATTTACTTACTAAAATTTATTTTTTATATACAAGGAATTGTATAAAAAGTGGTTTAGTGGTGTCTTAAAAAATGGAAACTTTAAAAACTTTCGAAGGATTATAGTTTCTTCCATCAGAAAGACATTTCGGAGATTATATGATTATTACACACACACACACACACACACGCACGCACGCACGCACACACAGATGTATATTCGATGAGAATACAAAAAGAATGTTATAACTTACGCATTAAACTTGCGGAAAACACGAAAAAATGCAGCCTACTTGTGCATGAGACCATGAAAAACAACGAATTTTACCAAAATTACCGATAAATTACCATCTTACTGTCTTGTAATTAATTGTCACTTTGAATCTAACGGCAATTTTACATTTCTAGTACCGATACACGTTCGCAATTTGCCAATCAAATTTTAGACTTGACATCGACGGCCGAACTGAGGCAAATACACAGCGTATGCGTACAGAAAATTCTTCTCAGAGTCATTATGGACCGTAACGAGGAATACGGGCGTGTGAGATTACGATACAATTACGGGGAGTCATTACGATGCTTTGCTTAACGTCGATATGGCGAATACAGCGGTTAGAGATCAAGCTCTCGACAAGTTTGTCCTCTAATATATTTATATATGTTACATTCGACATACTATACGTGTAATATCATCGAGCGATGAGTCGCGTGATGCAACTTAAGATAATAAAAACGATCTCTTTGTCTCTTATTTTTTTTTCCTTTTTTCTTTACGATTTTCCACTTTCGATCTCTAATGTCGGTCTGATTGGTAAGTAGGTGACGCTATCTTATACATCGAGACACGTGCAATTTTCGGTGTCTTATCTTATTAATGGTAGAAGCGACTACGTTAGAGAGAGTGCAACCGCAAGATCAAGAACCCGAGAGAGCAACAACTCAGCCGTGTGTTTACTTTCTGCTCCGCTCTACTGCGAGTAAAACCCAGAAACAAGGTATCATCCCCCCTCTCGACGCGTATAAAAGGAATGTAATTCGGTGATGCTATCGGTCAATCTTAGATCTTAAAAGAATCGAGAGACGTGGCCGAAGATCGACGGGACAAAGCAAGGGATGGAGGTCCACTGACCAGGGATGTGGTGCCGAACAGCTTGTACCAGCCGATCACCGGGTCATTGAGGTTCAGCTCGTCCAATACGATCTGTGCAATACCCATGAACACTTTTTTCCCTTCCAACCGGCCGTAGTCACCCCACACCGTCACCTGAAAGCATGTGTGAATCGTCTTGCGATTACGTGCAAAGCACGATCCCGGCGGGCGACGCTCTGCAATAAGAGCGATCGTTCGCACGATTTCGTGAAAAAAAATTCGTCAAAAGAACCGATCTCGTTCTCTCTTGTCGCGCACCTGCAATATACAACCCCGACAGTTCTCCTTGATAGCCAACAATTGCTGATAGAACGGATCCAGAGTCTTCCTAGCCGGCACGGTTTTCGCTTTCGCTACGCATCGTTTGCCGTTCACCACGTAGAGCTTCACGTAAGGAGCTACGAAAGAAAACAAAGCCGACGTGAGTATAGTCGTTCATTATGAGCGATCAAGACCGAATTCTTTGTGAATCAGAGATGAAAATGACTCAGTCTAATGGTAACTTACTCGATAAATTACGATAAATTACCCGGTAATTTTGGAAAGCGATTTCTAACATTGTGGGCACAGGATTTAATAAAATCTACTTTTTTTATACAAAGAATCCTATAAAAAAGTAATTTAATAGTGTCTTAAAAAATGAAAACTTTAATATCCTCGAAGGATTGTGAATAGTTTCCTTTCTTTCATCTGGAAGACATTTCAGGGATTATTATAGATGCACATTTGATGAGAATATAAGAATAATGTCGTTTTATTTTATACATTAATACGGAAAACATGGAAACATCTTATATAAAACGAATCTGTCAAAAAAAACCCCCCCGAAAGCATAAAAAACAACGAATTTCACCGAAATTACCAATAAATTATCTTGTTGCCGTAATTTTATCGACAGCAATCGTCACTTTGAATGTAATGATAATTTTACATATCTAATGCGAATATATTTCGGCGCAAATCATTTCCTAAAGTGGAAATACTTACCTGGGATCACTTTACTTCCTTGTTTCGCTTTCAAGTCTTTGGCACGTATGACCTCGATCTCCAGATAACCCTTCTTCTGGTTCAACGACAATTGGATCTCGCCGAGGCAACGGGCGCCGAGAGCTTGTCTCCCGACCACTTGGCCCGGTCCGAGATCTTCGATGAAGTCTCTCAACTGCCCGGTTTCGCCTGCCATGCGCAGACTCGGAGACCAACTACGGTTTTCAAAATTACGCATTTAGCAGATATGCCGCGATTCGTCGTTCGATGCTATTACGAAAAGTATGAGGGATGATACAACGGAAAGAAACTTCGCCGGAGAATTTGTAGAAAACGTCGTACAGAGAAAAGAGTGAACATCCGTCTGGTTTACGGCGCTGCTCGCTTTCGTGCGAGCCAACGAAAATCAGAAATGCAATTTTCCAACAAATTTCTCTCTTTTCTTTTGATTCTTTTCTTGCTTTTCGTTCATCACTCGCACAGGCCTGTCCGAAATCGTATGCGCGCACGAAGCGATCTTAATCGTCTCGAACGTCGCCCGTAATTCGTAACAGATGGAGAAAAACAAAGCACGAGGACTCTGCAAGCCGAAAATTAGATTACCGCGCGAAAGAACTGTGTGCGATGAGACAGAGAGAGAGAGAGAGAGAGAGAGAGAGAGAGAGAAATGCGCGAGGGGATGAAAATCATAAAAGAAAAATATTCCGCAGGAGCGAGGGACAATTCCCGCAAGCCTTCGACGAAAGTTGTAAAAAGAGAGAGAACACACCTCATTCAGTTTGAGATAAGAAGAACTCACGCTGAAAGTGTAGTGTTTTAGTGTACGATAGAGTAAATAAATATATAATATATATAATATATACATATATATTATATATATTATATACACGGAAGAAGATTATATATAAATAAGTTGAAAAAACATACCCCAGAGAGACTGTTTGAACGCATGCACTTTTAATCTAAACGCAGGTACCATTTAGAGTAATTAAAAATAGATGACGGTAATCAGGCCATTTCGACGGGACCATTGGGGTCGGCAAAGTAACATGAATAACGCGAATAGCACGTGAGAGGAGACGAGCATCGTCACACGCGACGAACGCGACTTCAAGTCTCCGGACTGAGTACCGTCTCGTTCGTTATTGCTGCAAACTACATCTATCTACTTCTCCTTTCGGCATGCTTCGCTAAGATCTTAGGGATATCGGAAAGAAAGATAATTAATTAACGGAGAAAATTATACTTTAACTTACGCTCACTTGTCGTCTCGCTACGCTACGCGCCGTTGGGAGAGCTCGCGCTTAATTAACGCTATAAACGGGTAACTTTGCGAAAGTCTCTGCTAGAAATGTAGAGAGAGAGAGTGACGCCCATCGAAAGTGTGGACATAATTATATCGGAAACTGTCATTAATACTATTTATATATATAACCAACTATATACTTAGAAATTATTAACATACTACTTCTCTCGGTAGTAGTACGGTAGTGAGACGTGTATGCGACAAACGTGTGTGGACCTCTTTTGTTTGGAGGAAGGGGGGGAGGGGGGAGGAGTTTCACACCTAATTGCATAACTCGGAATATGTATATATGTATACGTATGTACATGTGTATCTCGCTCTATGTACGACTTGACGAAACACACTGCGACACCATTGTACTCATAAGTCGCATCTCGAGTGTCGGTTCAGCAAAGTCGTGTTAATTGCGATTCGCACACCCGGATTCGCCGGTCGCCGTCGCTTTCTCCGACGATTATCGGCCCTTTTAACGGCCGGCGTAACATACACCGCTGCCGAGGAACAAAGCGGGTGGATCGTCGAGGGATTCTCATTGCCATCCGTATTAAACATCTCGAACCGACAAGACCGTTCATTCGTTGCTCGCTCGCACGCACTCTGCCACAAGCGTTCGGACACACGGAGATACCTACGCGTCTACGTTTCTCAAGTGCACTTTCGACATTTCGATTGTTTTCTCGATCCGGCACGCGTTCCAGGAGACACTGCGCTGTACAATTACCTATTCTACCACCAAGAACACATTCGATGAAAACGATACAGATCCATGAGACGGAGGGGCTGCTTTCCAGGGGCAATGTCGATTTCAATAGAGTACGCTTTTGTGTGTGTGTTTGTGTGTGTGTTCCTCTCACCATGTGGGTAGAAAATATGGCTCAGCGACAATAACGACCATACTGACATATAGTGGATACAAAAGTGCGTGTTGTATGTGCAACGGTGCTCCGAAGTAATGCGACACAATCATTTGCCACAATCAAGCAACTAAGCCAAGACGACAACAACACCGATAAATGGATGACAATATATATCTTTTAGGGGCTGCTTTCGTTTTCTGGAGCAAGGACGAAAGTAATGCCGGGAGGAAGTAAAAGAGGAGACAGAGAATAAAACAGCAGAGAATATAAATCCCATCCACTTCGTCGAAGACTATACACTTTCATACGTTTCTTCCTCGCGTTACGCAAAACTGACGTGTGACGAAGGTACTTTGCTGATGTGAATAGAAAAGGGGGAAAAAGAAATTATCGCGCGTCCGAGAGTGTAATCTCGATCGCGAAAATCATCATCGTAATCGCTACGTCAGAAAGAATCAGAAACGAAATGAAAGGAACGAATGACCATAAAGGATATTAAAATAATAACATATGATAGGTGATTTCTTTTTTGTTAAAAGGTGCGAGGATTCTCATGTCGATAGATACGGGTATGTCTCGCGCGTTTGTCCTACAAATAAATAAAGAAGTGTGATCGAAATAAGGTGATAATTAATTCAAATAACAGATAAAAGATGACGGAAATTAAAGAGGGAATGAGAAGAAAGAAGCGTGTGCGTCCACTACAATATAATTGCACAATTCATATCAAAGACACATCGACTCGCAGGTTCGAAGATCCGTCTGTAAAATTTATAATTTTCTATGTGGACAAATTTCTTGGCGCATATAGGAAGTAAGACGAAAAGCGACCAGCGGGATTACTCTTCGCCTGTAAAGCTGATATAATTATCGAACGACGTTCATTCGGACAAGTTAATCGGTGAGAAGCGAAATCAATTTTGCGGGTAACGCTTTAAGGTAAAAGTACCAAAATCTGGACTTTCTTTGTTGTTTTTCTTGGTCTTTAAATACGAATATTCAAATTTTCAAAATATAGAACATACATATATATTGAATAAATAGAAATATTTTATGTTTAAAGATTAGATCCGAATTTAAAGACCAAAACAACAAGAATACCTATAATTAGATATGTATCCGGGCATTGGTGCATTTATCTTACCGTGATTAACAAAGAGTGAACTCGCTGATCTGAAGGAATAAAGAGATAACAAATTAGAATGCTCTATTAGTGCATCGAGTCATATAATAAGTAACTTCCGCCTTTCTTATCAATTTATCCTGTGAAATAAACTGCAATTTACTAGAGATTAACCAAACATGTATTTGTTATTATCTATGACTCGATCCAAAAGTGCAGACCAAATACTCTTTTAATTCAGATGCCTGAGCATCCCACAATTTCTTGAATAACATTCGAGACACTGGAATATTTGAATATTGGCTGCACTGGCCGCGCGTATGTCGACAAGCGATTAACAAGCGACTCGTCAGCTGCAAGATGTTCATTTATCAATGAAATAAAATACGAAGACTGGCCAATCGTTGGTACGTTCCTCACAATTTCCAAATCTGCTCGAAGATAACTTCAAACAATTTTTGCGAAAGCAGAGTCACACCAATGAGCGCGACTTCACCTTATTCACTTCGAATAGCTTGCGGCTTTTCCTCTGTCGACACACTACACGGGAATAGAAAGAACATAAGGAAAGAAAGAAGTCGAAGGAGAACAGAAACCAACGGCGATAGAGAAAGGAAGAAGAGCCGAAGGAAGACAGACAGACAGAGAGAGAGAGAGTGTATGTAATCAGGAATCTCGCGTTTCCGCTTGCAGAATCGGTCTCGCCACAGGTTGGAGTCCACTACTTACGAGCTTCCTTCGGAACTAGAAATCGAGTTGAGACTTCCGGCGGTATCACTGGCTGCCGATCCTGCCGGTTTGCCGGAGTCAAAGCGCTGATAGGTCGGCATGATCTCCTCGGATCGTAGTATGCTGCTCGGCGTGCTGTTGCGCTTCCGGCTTGCAAAGCCGCGTGCCACAGCGCCAGCGCTTCCGCCAACGACGAGCATCCCGCCAATGCCGCACTCTGCGTTGTAAACCAAACAAGAAATACCGCTAAAAACGATTATCCTTCACCGATATGTGAAAGCGCGTGTGTCCGGATGCAGCAGCAGTTCCCTTCGTCCTGGTCCAAGAAATGACTGTCGGAATAACCGCTGGAACGGTTTTAATTAATGCGCGTCTCCGCAGCCAGCGATGGAATCGCAGAACGCTAAACATGAATCGATCTCGACGTTTTCAACTTTTATCAACTACTTCTCTCTCTCTCTCTCTCTCCCCCCCCCCTTTTTCTCTCTTTCTTTCCTTCCTTCTCTTCCTCTCTGCATTTCTTTCTCTCTCTTTCTCTCTCTTTCTCTCTCTTTCGTATAAACTTCCTTCCTCGTGTATTTTTCCGCCTTCCTCTCTCGCTTGATCTCTCTTCAATCTCGGAATCGCTCTAATGAGCAGTGTGAAATGCAGAGTTGCAATAAAACCTCGTAACTCGCTTGAAATGCGTAAACAGGTGAGTAAAAGGTGGGGAATAGTGCGAGGATTCGTCGAGGCTACGTGACATTTCAGATCAGATATAACGGGACAATATTGCACGGGCATATGCATTTCTGTGTGTGACACTAAAGACAGAGGATATACTTAAACCTGGTAGCCTGGTGTGACGCGACTTAAAATTTCGACACACCTCATCGTGTCACGAATGACAACACGATAGATGGCATTTTGCGTGAATCGTATAATAGCACATTTTCCTTTCTCAGGATTGTATCGAGATGAGAACAATAGACGGAAAGAAAAACAAGTGTTGATGATCCAATTTGTTCGTCTCGATAACGCTCTGCGACAGATCAGATGCAGGAAGCATAAATGAGCGAACATCCAGTGATTCGACAAGGCGGCGTATCTACTCTACCGACTCACGCAGGCTATCGACAAATTAATCATGATTATAACGTCAGGATAACGCTAATACGCTTTCCCGCATACACGACTACGCCAGATGTCCAATTGTTAATTAGCTGTAATTCTGAAAAAGTTACTCGACGTATGTACACACGCCTTTACGGCTAAGTGATCGTTCTATATAATTCCCTGGACGCACACAGATATAATTATGTACACAAATATATACATATACACTATACAATAATGGAACGCTCTCTGAACGTCGTAACTCGTACGATGCTCGAAGAGCGATGCTGTCGAGATTCAGTAATTATCAAGTCAATACGTAAAGATTTTGTCCGACTAACAGCTTATGTGTGTATAATATATATATGTATTATACAAGGTGTCTCTTGAAATTAGACCGACAAACTTAGATGCTTATAGAGGACACCAAAGTAATTTTTGTTGATAAATCCATATCCGCAAATGAGCTGTTTCGGCACTAGAGCGAATTATTTACAACAGTTATTCAAAATGTTGGCCATTTGTTTCAATACAGAAATATTAGCAATATTTTTCCTGGCCCTGACTTTTGTTGCTATCTATTGATAAAAAATATTAATAATAATTGCTTTATCAAACTAAAGATTGTCGGGAATTTATAAATAGATAGAATTAATATTATTTATTATTAACTCGCAAGCTCAGTATCACAGTGCTTTTTTACTGTTTATCCGAAATTAGTATTGAAAATGAAAATTTTCTCTTTTGACGAATTGGCCGATTAGCATCTTATTTATGAAGCTGGATATAAATAACTAACATTTCGAATAACTACCGCATAATTCACTTTAGTGTCAAAGCATGGATTTATTGATAAAAATTACTTATTTCAGTGCCTCTTATAAGCATCCGAAATGTATCGGTATAATTTTGAGACATTCCGTATACGTAACGGCAAGACACATTCAACGAATTTCGTGTGATCAATATAATCGTAGAGATATCGAGATGTAAATACGCTGATAAAGAAACACTGCAACGAACCAGGACATCGAGAAGTCAAAAACCGTGTGAATGGCGCACTCTCACCTGAAGCACGTATCAACAGTGGCTTCTAAGAAGTAATAAATATAACGTATCAGGTGGCCAACTTACCTCGACGTTATCGAGAAATTCAAATTGACCACGCGACGATCTAGATTCGAGACAGAGAGGAGAGCTTGTTACGGTTGCGAACGATTATAACGTGACATACGGTGCCGACACTATTCTAGAATCACGATAAATACGCCAGCACAACTATATTTGTGCAACTAGAGTTGAGTTTCCTGATCTGCGTGATCCACGCGCACACACACACACACACATCACGTACGTTATCAATATTATCGTCATCATCATCTTCATCAGCACGTTATTAATTGGCGATTCAGCGAGGGAGTAGAGCCTGCTTCTCCAGAGACAGACGTAAGACGGAGAGAGAGAGAGAGAGAGAGAGAGAGTCGTGAACTCTCTCTCCCTTAGTAAAAACGCACGGTGAGATTACAGCCCAGGAAACTCGTGCGAACGTTCCTCTAGGAATAACGTATCAATGCTACGTAGAAATAGCCTCTACGAACTAGGATAACGAAAAAGGTAAAAGAGGAGTCACCTCGTGACCATTCGAAGAAACGTGCAGTGTGATTCGCAAAATACTTTCTTCAAGTTTCTCCAAGCGACACTCGGCGGCATGATACACGACGAGAGAGAGAGATGGGGGGAGTGTATACATATACATATCTTTGCTTTGTTTCTTTTTTTTGTTATATTCTCCCCACCGACCTGTCGCACCGTGCGCCGGCTTAAAACTTGATTGCACAAGAAAGAGAGTATTTTCCGACAAAACAATCACGAGAGACTCGCACGACTTCGACTAAAGCACGGCCTCTAAAAAGAGAGTGATGGTGTGATGTGTTTCGTTGTTGCTGTTAACAAAGTCGGTGTCGCGGCTGACGGTGGCGGGTTGGTGGTTGGTTGGTTGATTAGTTGGTTGGTTGGTGGTAGGTGGCCCCACGTTCTTCCTATATCGCGAGTCCACCTGCAACGTGTACTCACATTTCGTCGAAGGCTTGAGATTCCGCTGTATCGATCAACGAGAACCGAGCAACCTGAGTTGTGGTCTTTTCGTCTTGTGAACGTCTCGCGTCCGATTCACGCGGGTCATTCTCGATGAACGCGCGTTATCTCGCGACGAACGCCGTCGTTATCTCGCCCGCACGAACGGGAGAGACACGTGCGTACGAGAGAGACGACGAAACCGATCGATCTCCAGTCTGCGAACGGTGAAGGGGTTCGCCGTAGTCGCGCGATCGTCTCCGACCGACGAACCTAGGGGGTTGGGGGNGGGGGGGGGGGGGGTTGGTCGCTCCCACGCAATGGAAAGTATGAGGAAAATAAAAGAAGAAAGAAACGAAAGAACGTGAAAAAAAAGAAGAACGAGAAAAACCAAAGGAAAAAAGAGAGGAGTTCTACTGAGACAGAGAGAGTTAGTCGGACCTGTCCCCGTCGCCGCTCCCCTCGCCGTCGCTGCTCGCGGAGCTCGGTTGTCGGCCGCTCCTACCACCGACCGTATCCTCCGGCAGTACTTCCTCGCTCCTGTGAACTGTAAAGGACGACTTCCCCTTCTTCCCGAAACCCAGCCGTCGTTTCCGTCCTTCCTCGCCCACGCATGTACCACCAACAGACGCACGTGGTATGTTATGGATTTTGCGTGACGTGATATAGTTTTGTTGTCGTTGTTGATGTTGTTGTTGATGTTGTTGTTATCGTTGTTATTGTTGTTGTCGTTGCGACAGAGAGAGAGCAACAACGATGGTTGTGATGATGTGGTGGTTATAGTGGTGGTGGTGTCGGTCGATTATTTCGATTGATTGATTTTACAGACGTATATATATATATATATATACAAAGTTATAGTTTATATGTATATATATATACAAGTTGTAGTATATATGTATATATATATACAAAGTTATAGTTGTTATTTTTTTTCGTAAATAATCGTGTGGCGAGAGTATCGGTTTGAGTTTGTTTGTTTGTTCATATAATTTTTTTTGCGTAACAGTGGCGATAGAGGTCCAGCAAATCGATCCGTGTGGAGTGTGTGTTCCGCGGAACACACGAGCGCGCGGGCGACGATCGCGGCCGCCGCGATGAGAAATCGTGCAGGTGGGTGCAGATCGATGACGTGAATGGTCCCCCAGCGTCGAGAGGTGGTTGGTAGAAGTAAAGTGTGAGTGTGTTCATGTTGAAGAGAGGCGGACAGAGATGAGGAGGGATGGCGGAGAAAACAAGAATACAATTAGAATGTACATACTGCCCCGCTTACTGGGTGTTTTGCTTGTCTACGGTATGCTCTTGTTATCGTTCAGTTCGATTTGAATCGTCACACGCGTCCGATCCGCGCTCGAAGACACCGAGAGACAAACGGCGGAGAAGAATAAGAAGTAGAACAAATAAGGAATGTGATGAAGAAGATATCCGGCGGGAAACAACAGCTTACTTCGTCTTCGACACGTTATCGTTCGTCCACCTGGTGCATCCGCTTTGTGCGGTCAGTCGGTAACACCGTAGTTCGCGGCAAGAGAGACCAAAAATACGCCTCGTCACGTTTTTCTCAGACACTGACGTCTGTTCTCGAGCAATGCTTTTGCAATCGCGCGTTCACTCGTAGTTCCTTATTATTTCTTATTCTTCGTTCGTGTTTTCCGGTCGTGAACAGCCCGTGGTTTCTCGACCGGAAAGCTTCTCTCCCGAATCGTCGGATTTTATCGTCGTGATTTCCCGATAGGGAGCACGACATATCGGCGACGATATATCCGTGCGACATCCTCCCAGGTACGTAGCGAGAGCACACCGTCACAATCTACACACTAACGATGACTAGACTATGACTAGCCTAATTTACGAAATATATCGTTGTTATGAAGAGAAGACGATATTCCTCTTTTGTCTTTTACTAAGAGAGAATGTGAGGAATAAAAAATTGTTCTAATACCGCGATGAGATACGGTGGTCATACAAGGAAAAGAAAATAAAAAGAAAGGAGGAAACGTCCATATCAAAACGTTCTTCTAACACCGCGCACCGCAAGAGAAGGAAAGAAAAAAAACAGTCTTCGCGCGCGAACGAGCGATCGGTGTCTCTTTGTTTTACGAAAGAGATCGACTACGTAGAACACGTGGAGGCTAGAAGACGCAAAACTCGATAGAAATGGCCAGTGTGATAATGTGTTACCTGTCGCGGACAATTGGCTGGTGCTGTTGCTCTTCTTCCCGAGACCGGCCTGGTACTGCACGGCGCTGCCGCTGCTGCTGCCGCTGCCGCTCTTGCTGCCGGGCGAGCTCTTGCGACCTCTCCTCGACGCGTCCTCGACGTTCAACGCGATCGCTGTATCGCTGAAACTACCCGTGTCTGCGAAACAAGAATACGCGCTTGAACGTACACACGCGGCGAGAGCGCGACCCGAGAGAGAATGATCGAGGCGTGCCACGCGATCCACACACACGTTTCCAGAATATTTTTTCTGTCTGCAGCTGAGCTTGAAATTAGCGGGACATACGGATCGAGTGGAAGAAAAGTTTGCCTCGACGAATTTCAGAATACGTCCAGTGTCTAATATGAATAATTTGCTTCTTGATGTTTTATTAATCATGTGTGAAATTATTTAAAAAATTAAGAATATATCATAAATCACTAGGAAACAACTTCTCTCGTTGAGGGTCTGAAGCGTTTTGAAAAAAATTTATAGAGATAAAGATTGAAAAAATGTTTGTAATTTTACAATATGGTTTTAATTTTTAGCTTTTTAATAATTTTCTAGTAACACAGACCGACAAAAGAAATTTTGTCAGGTAATTTTAATCAGAATGGGCGTTTCTTATGGATTTTTGATAAACAAAAACACTGGTTAAATTGCCGTATCACGTGAGATTTTAAAGTTACTTTGAATTTTAAGATGAGAAATACGATTTACAGGGAAAAATGTAGAAGTCACTAATTGACAGTAAAGTATTAAAAATAGATGAATTACTAATAGTTTGATTTACGCATTGATTCTTTATTAACGAAGGATCAAAAATTGTCTTACAGAAATGTTTCTTTGTTAAAGATAGTGTATAGAAAAACAGGTTTTTTTTTTCACGTTTGGCAAGATTAGTGAGAACGAATTTCAATGTTGGATTTCAATATTATGGTTTCCGTTATTTTCGTCATAAAATCTTCTTGAAATGTTATTAAAAATGTATGAAAAAAATACAATTCTAAAATGGCTGATAAAACAAGATTTTCAGAATAAAACTTTTGTATTAAATTTCAATATGAAGAAAAAACATTTCAAAATTTCATTTAAATAAATCACACATACAAATTACGACATATTAATAGCAAGAATATGTTCATGCCGATAAATAACACAGATTTATTAAACATTTTTTTCTACGAGTCGCTAATTTCTTATCTTAAAATGCAAAATAAATCCTGACGTGATGGTGCAATTTGGCCAGCGACATTATTGTTTGTGACTCAAAATCTATAAGAAACGCCTACTCTAATTAGAGTTACTTGACAAGAAAATTTGTTTGTGTGAATGAAAAAAATATCCAAAGATATGAGTTTTCATTTTGGACACCCGGATGCGTTCTAAAATTTATCGGGGTAAAAATGTTACGTGCTTCCTTCCACCGACCTGTGTGTGTGTACGAATTGGGAACGTACAAATAACGTGGAGAAAATAAAAGAGCTTTACATTAATTTCAGCCGAGTCGTTAACACGATGTTTTCACCGTCGAGCTTTTCGCGAGCAGTTCCGACCGAATGCGCGGTAAACGTGTATAATCGTGGAATAATAACGACGTGTGTCCCATCTTTATTTCGCTATTCGTCGCACGACGAGCGTTCGTGACTCCGCGGCAAAAGTTTTATATAACATTCGAACAGGCGTACGTCCGCGAGTTACTAACTACCGCTAAATACGAGTGCAACGAGTTCTCGTGACTGCTAAGTCCCGGCGAAAATTTATGTTACTCCTCCGCGAAGCTCTGTCTTCGGCCATACGTCACGCCATCGTGACGGCAAAATCGATGCGGCGGTACACACGCGGATATACGTATCAGCGAAAAATCGAGGTGGAACGAAACTTTCGTTAGACGGGGCGGACGTTAAGCGGAACGAGCGATAATACGAGGAATCCGTGCCGATTTCCATTTCGGAGGCAGATTCGACTTGGACGAGAACAATTTTCTCGAATGGACGCATAAGAAAAAGGTCCCCTAAAGGGTTGACTGACAAAATAATTACTATAACAGTAATAATTCGAAATGGGGGATACATCTCACAGTGTTCGACGTAAAGAAAACTGGCCTCGTCAAAACGACACAACACGACAATCAACAGCAACACGTCATCAATCGAGCAATTGAACAAGCTCAAACGAAAATATATGATAAAAGAGCGCAATAAGAGTCGATTGCAGATACAATCTGTCTACGATGCACACGGAAAAAATTAGTATCATTTTACGGTTCATATTTTCATGTGTAAGCAAAAATGTGTACACAGAAAAAAATGAGTCAAGAATAGATATTTTCATATATAGGCAAGAATATCATAATCTTCTCAAAAGATTTTTCGTCTTGATTTGATTGTATTTGTGTTGATGCATATATTACTTGAACTCAATTCTAAAAATCTTCTAAGAAAATTATAATATTCTTGTTTATGCATAAAAATACCTGTTCTTGATTTAAGACTATTTTTGGTTGTGTAATTTTCCATGAATTTAAATTTTATACAAAGAGAAATTCTAAGTAAATTAATTTTTCTTATGAATTTGAAAAAAACTTGTTAAAAATATCATATTATTATTATTATTATTCAAGAACCGAGGAGAGGAAGAATATTAGATAGTAAGAACGACATTTTCAAACTGATACAGTTGTTAGTTTGAAAATGTTTCTATCCAATATTTGTCTTTTCAATTTATGAAATTTAATAAATTAAATAACAAAACTATGATATGACTGTGTAGAATGTTGTCATGTGTAAGGAAAGTTTGATCTTCATATAAGATGAAACATTTTGGTACATATGTGAGTCTGTGCGAATGAAATTACAGCTGCACAGTTGACTCCCACCGCCCTGCTTCATCATATATATTTTCGTTCGACTCTAATCACAGAGAAAGGATTGTCGTGTTCGCTCAAGCAAGTCTCTTCCCTCACCTTTCTCATCCTGCGGCACGTCGGCGTTACTGAGACTCCTGGTGAACTGGCTCCTCTTGCCGCGGTCGTCGTCGGTGACCTGGTGTCTGGACGTCTTCTCGTACGAGCTCGACTGGCCGCCGTACTCGCTGCTTTCGGGCAGAGAGCGACGGTTCGGCGCGTGGTCGTCGCGACGATCCGCGGCAACGACGTCGAAGGCGGATTTTTTCCGGGATCGCCGCCGGGCGGACGTGGTCGGCGACAGGAACGTGGACGCCACGTCGACGACGTTGGCGAGCGGCGACATTTTCGCGTTTCGTGGGTGTTGGTGGTGATGATGATCGTCGGCCCGTGGGTGGTAGTTTTTAGCGGTGTCGGAGGTAGCGGTTTGGGAATCAAAGAGACTCGAATTAGCGTTACCAGGGCGGGGTGCTCGGTTACGGGGCCTACGCGGATCGCACGGGCCAAATCCGCAGTTCTCGCTGCACTGGCTCTCGCTCTCCATCGAGTACTCGTAGTACTCGAGGGTGTCGCTGATCGCCACGTTCCTCTTACTACCCTGTTGCTGCGGCTGCTGCGATCGCGGCGGCTGCATCTGCTGCTGGCTCGGCCGACGCTGCTGCGGCTGGTGGCGCTGCGGCTGCTGCTGCCTCTTCTCGAGCATCTCGAGATCCCTAGCCTCCGGACAGCTGCTGTTTCGCCTACGATATCTATGCTTCGCCTCTACCAATGTCCGCCGGTCGTCAACCTTCCGCGACAGCGAGCCCGACCTACCTAACTCGGAAGCGGAGAGCGCTAGCTCGCGACACTCGGGGCAACTACTCTTACGTCTAGCGCGCGAAGAAGACCCTGACCTAACTAGCTCCGTATAATCGTATCTTGAGTCTAAGTAGCTACCACGATCTTGTTCCGCGTGAAAGAAGCCCGGTCTAACGGCGTCATTCGCTCTAGTCACGTAGCTCGTCCGTCGAAAGCAATCGGCGCCGACTACCGTCTCCGTGGAGCCGAACTCCTCGTCGGAGTCCAGCACGAAACGCGTCATCCTCTCGTCATCCCTGCGGCGCAGATCTCTGCTCTCTGGACAGCTACTGTTACGCCGGCGACGGTAGGCGCGTCTGCTGCGATCCGGCTCCTCGTCCGACTCGGTTCGCTGGATATGCAACGTAGTCGGCGGCGGCCTCTCACGGACGCTGGACGCGAGCGGCGAGTAGTCGCCCTCTCTCCTGCGTCTTCGAGCGCAGCCGTCCACCCGGTAGTCCGGCCTGATGTCGTCCGACTGCGCGTAGTAGTCGATCTTCTCCCGCTCCACGAAGCCTTCGTCCCACGAGTCCTCGTAGCTAATGTCGTCCTTGGCGGAGGACATCCACCGGCCGTTATTCTCGCCGGGCGACAGCTCGATGCTGCGGTAGATGGGCTTCTCCGAGCTGATGTCCAGGTAGCTGCCGCCGTATTTTCTCTCGCTGGTTCTCTCGGCGTGGAAGCTCGGCACATAAATCTCCGTCTCGCCGCAGCTGATCTCCGAGTCGTAGCCGTAGAAGGACGGCTTCTGCAGCAGGTAATCGTAATTCGTCTCTTTGCTCGTGGCAGCGCTGCTGGTAGTAGGCACTTTGTCGTCGCCGTTCGAGTCGTAGTAGGACTTGCTCTGATCGTCCAGCGCCGGAATCTTGTCGCCGTATCCGGCGTCGCTGAGAGAGAGATTCCGCTTGAGCTTTCTCCGGGCCGTCCTGAGACTGTCGTCGCTGAATATGTTGCTCGATATGCTCTCGTACTCGAAACTCTTGGCCCTGCGCGATAGCAGACCGACGGCCCCTGGCCTAGTACCGAAACGATCACCGTATGTATCGTGCATCACGTCGAAGCTTCTAGCCTTAGCGGATAAGAGAGACCTACGCGGATGCAAACTAGCGTCTATACTCCTAAGATGGTCAGGGGTATCGAACGGACCCTTTGCAACAATCCTTTGTCCGACCGTCGAACGACGCGCACGCGACCCCACGCAGTCGTCGTAGACACGGCGATACGAGCAGCTCGCGCAACGTCCGACGCGCGACGACCTCCCCGTCTGACGATCGTCGATCCGCTGGCGGTCCACCGCGACGTTCTTAGCGATACCGGCTGGCCTCTCGCAAACGCTGTACTCGCTGCTCTCGGGGCTGTAATATCTCAGCATGTTCTCGTCGACGGTCTGCGATCTCGTGAAGGGCGTCTTTTTGTACAACGAGCGTACCACTGCGGACTTGCTCCGTACGAGGGGATGCGGGGTGGGACACTTGCTGGGGTCGTTGCTTCTGGGCACGGTGGGATTGTTGTTGCACGGACAATGACATTCGCTGCGGGGTACCCTAAGTTTGTGCTTGCGCCTATCGCGTCTAGGGGGCGGGGGTGTGGGGGATGTGACAGTGGGTATCGAAACGTTTTCAATTGCCGGTCTGCAAACAATGTTTTTTTCTTTTTTTATACAGAGGGAGCCTATCGCGCGGAAACACAAAGATAGGGTGAGCCCATTCCGCTTTTCCTTCTCTTTTCTTTGTTTCCGGCTGTTTTTTATTCTTTTTTGCAACTTTCTCAGATCTTTTTCTCGTAATTCGCTTCTTTCCTCGCGCGCTCGATCTAATGCGTACTCGCGCGCGCGCGTGTTCACGGTGCTCGTCCATGAACATTCTTCTTTTGCGATTCTCGCCGAGAACAACGGGTCGACATTTCGGAAGAGAGCGATCGATGTCTGTCTTCGCCATGCTTCGTACCTCTATCACACGACGAGGCAAGACTACCTAACAACCGTTCGACCAACGCCACGCACTAATCCCTGCTTTCTTAGAATGGGACGCTAATTAAATGGACATTGGCGCACAGACACAGAGATAGATAGATAGAGAGAGAGAGAGAGAGAGAGAGATACGGTGCGTAGGAAGTGCAGTCTAAGCGCTAAGATTCTCTTCGTCGGGGAAAACGATAGGGAGAGGGAGAAACATTTGTCATGCAAGCAGGACGGGTGCAATTACAAGGGTCATTCATGCAAGTCGACAATGTCCATTTAATCCAGGGATTGTTCGAGGGGTCGAGCTGGTCGAGCGGATGGTGCCGTTCGATCAATTCGCTTCAAGACGCAAGAGAACCCTTTCGGGTTTGCGAAAGTGCATTCGGTGGGCGTTTGATGCCAGATTCAAAGCAACGCGCTCGAAGCTCGACCCCTACCTAACGGGGTACTTTTTTGCTATGGAATCTGCGTTGCTTTTTGTACACCGACCTCGCGGAACGAGGTCGTCCGTACGATCAAGATAATGTAATGATTACGAAACTATACTCACATTAGTGCTCTCGATCCACGTGGTCGTTCCGATTGTGTACTAAAGGCACTGCTCGTTACCGAGGCTATGCTCTCCATGTCAGAATCTCCGAGATCACCGAGCACGTCTTTGTCGGGGCTCAAGTGTCCTTTTCGCGGTCTGTGCATCCTGTGAGCGTGGCTGTGTGGCAACGTTAGCGGATCGTGCCCGATCGAGGGGAGATCTGAGTCCGAGAGGCCACTGTAATGCCTTTCCCAGCCTGGAAGTGAATCGATCGGTGTCACTTGGGGCACAAGATAACTCATTGCGAAGAATTCGGTACGAGAATTCCGGGTATTCCGACGAATTCGACAACTTAAATTCGACGTGACTCAGATGTTTTCTTTTCTCATATATACAAGTAACGTTTAAATAAATTCGTAATTAAAACAGTTTTATAATTGTAGTTTTAAATGAAAATAGTAACGTATAACAAAAATCAACTGTACTATTAAAATCATTTGCAAACAAACACGTTTGATTGGTTTAAATTTACAATGCATTTTTACATGAAAAAGTGAGTAAGAGGCTTAGCAAGGCTTTGGACATTAAATGCAATACTTGCAATAATTCTGAGCAATCAGCCAGATCCTTCGAGAATTTTAAGCAAAAATAAAAAATCCACTAGAATTCTTCTGACTTTTAATAAATAATAAATAAAATGTTCAGGTCTAACTATGTGTCACTCGTGATAAGCGACTCACCTCCCATACCTGTGCTTCGGTATATCGTATGCGCCGGCCTGTTGCGATGCCTCATGAATCTCACTCGCTCCTCCAGATCTTGCGCGACCCTCTCCTTCAAGGCTGCCGGGATTTGAGGTAGTTGGCGTTTCTTCGGTGATCCAGTGGGGGTGGCGGTCGCCGATCTTGAGCCGAATCTGAACAAGTGCGCGGCGAGGTAAGGCGACCATTATCCTCGTCGTCGTCTCATCACCGCGGCTCGCAGTAGCGAAAGTTTCCGGTGATATTTCATACCTCGTCGTATAAACGTATCCGTGCGAGTAGGGAATGGATCTATGCTCGGGCGGAGACAAGGAACGATGACCAGTGGGGCTCTGAGACCTTCCTCGGTATCTAACGCTCGGGGAATCCATAGGTGCCGCGCTGTGAGACCTATGACCCATCATTCCCCGGTGGATGTCGTCCTGAGAACGGGACGTATTTAATAACGTGTAAGGATACCGACGAGACGGACGTTAATTTAACAGCGCGCAAGAAGAACACCGATAAGTCAGCGATACGTCGACGGAGTGTCGTCATATTTTCTTCCCTCCTTTTCTTCAGCGAAAAATTCTTAATAATAACCTGTGCATGATTTTCATTGAAAAACCGAGAAAAATTTCCACAAATTGATTTTAGACCGATAAGAGTCTCGCGCAATGATAGCGAGTAATTATCTCTTGCGGGAGGATAATAATGCTTAATTTGATCCTGCATTTTCCTGGATATTCCGACGTTTCTATTAACATTTCAGTTCATTTCTTCGGAATAAGGAACAACCTAAAACTGAGGTTACCTGACACAAACCGCTGAAACAGGTGTTAACTCGGGAGGCAAATTACGCATTAATCGACATCGCGAAAGCCGAAAATATCGGAGGATAATAATGTCGATCTTTTTTATTGGTCTAAAATTAATTCTTAACGATCGAATATCTCTGAAGGCCTTAATATTATTTCGTTCAGTTCTCTGATACATCGGGAAAAACTTGTTTGTCAGTAAGTCTCAGTAATTCCAAAACACGCAAATTTACACGTCTCTGCAATCGATATACATTCTTGCGATCTCGTGAATATCTTTGAGAACAAAGGAGTCTCAAGTTAGACGACAAATCTAGCCGAAAAAGAGGGAAAATGCGAGGAGCGTAAAACCGATCGACGCTCTGATCTTGAATGTTTGAGAGAGAATGTCCGATAAAAAAACGCCGTACCTTCCGATATGTCTGGTAACCCGATATAGAGGCAGGTTGGTCGCGAGATATCATGAGGGCGGCCCTTTTACGTCCTTGAGGCGACATGTCCCTCCGACTCCGGTGTTCACCGTCGACGCAGAGCTCCCTCTCCGGCGGCGGGCTAGAATAGTGGCTGCTCCAGCATGCGTTCATTTTTTTTTCATCAATCAGCTGCGTGCCTTACAACTTAAATGAGGCGAGTGCTGTGATCTCGCGCTAATCTCAAAATGCATGCGGCCAGGATGGTAGAAGAGTGATAGACAGAGTATACTCGTGTTCCTGTGTGTACGTGGTTCACATGTGCGTGATATTGATGTATGTGTGTGAAGAATGCTATACAAATGAAAACGCTACCGAAGTCGGAACGAAAGGTCGAGAAACGAAAGAAATCGCGCGAGTCCTCCCGAGTCGTGTGCAAACTCATCTCGTGAATTTTCGCACGCTATTTGGCGCATAAAAGATTCTCTAGCGTGAGCCCGAGATCCTTAGATCGCAAAACTGCACAGTGCATATCTCCTAATTTGGCGCGAAGCAGCTCCAAATTATTCGGCAATGCAGTCAAGTCTGCCTCGGCGTTTACACAGTGTGCTCTCGATTGGCGAGACCCTTCCCGTTGCCAAAAATCGGGAATTGCGCAGCGGAGTCGAGCCTCCTCGCAGAATATGCGACGTAAGTGCGTCCGTACGAGCGTGCCAAGTGAGTGGTTGCCGCACGCTGATGATCGATCAGTGCGAAAGACGCGCCCCCCCCGGTCGATGCGTATCGCCGTTTCTGGCAACGAAAAGCGAACTTGCACGTGAGAAGGCGGTTCGCGAAAACCGGCACCAAGTAATTTGCAGTGAAAGCTTCAAAGGGAGACTCAATCCATCCCGGCCGATGCATCGCGATGCATTAAGCATTCTAGAAGCCATGTCCCGTCGCATCTAAGACTCAACGTGTATAATAATGCGTATATGTATACACACATATATACAGTATATATATATATATATAGTATGTATGTACAGTATATATATATATGTATGCAAGAAGCGATGACAGTATGACGTCTAAGGTGCCCGTGGGTGACGACTCGCTAATTTCTTTTCTTTTTGCTGTTACTTTTCTTATTTTGCACTTACTACACTGAAAAATGAGTTTGCTTGAAATGTAGATTCAGACAATCAAGCGCGTTTTGGTCGAAGAGAACAACATTGCTGATTCTCATGAATCAAATTTGCTTCTTACAAACGGAGATTCTATTTCCTCCAATCAAATATGGTTGGTTGACAGAACGCGTTTGGTTATCCATTGTCAGGTAGATCCAACCAAACCCATTTTTCGTTCGAGTCGCTATCTCTTCACGTCTCTCTACGAGCAAACAAACGAAAGAGTCCGAACGCCACGAACAACAACAGAGATCCGCCCCGGGAATTTTGCTCGACGATGTAACGCGGTGCACGATATAACGTTAAATCGTACGTGAAGTGGGAAGAGCGGTTTCGTCAAGAGAGTTGCGTTCGACGGCCGTGTCACACGGTGTTTCTCGCACGCGATACGTCTCGTTCGCCGTGAAAACGACAATTTTCCCCTCTGTGTCTCTCTCCACCCTCTCTCTTTCTCCCTCTCGGAAATAATTATTATCAAACTTCTCGAGCTACCCCGTCGTTGTCGGTGTACTCGGATCGAATTAGCGGCACCGCATGATCGCGTCGGTAAGCGTCCCCTCCGTCTCCGTTGCACCGGTTAAGAACGCGCGACTAAACTCTGGCTGACTTCTACGCGTAACATCGTAATAATATAATAAAACCCTAGCGGTGAGGATGCAAGACTGCGTGTGACTGCGTGATTCGTGAAGGAGGAGAAAAGATATATTGTAATGGCCGTACCGCTTATAATTTGACGGCATATTATGAAACCTAAAAAATAAATAACAAAGCACACGATTAAAATCAAAAGCAATGAGAGCGGCCGCGGCCGACGCGTCATTGTCTAGCATCTCTTATCTCTCTCTCTCTCTCTCTAATATTATCTATATATACTTTCTATATTTTCTTACGCGAGATACACTTTACACACACGCGCTCTCAGCGACTCGAGAGATTCGAGACGCTCACGACAAATCGCTTTCCAAAAAATGCTCTGTGAGTCTTTAATGTTTCAGATCGACAAGTTTACGCGGCAAAATCCGAGCGCGCGATACACGGAAAGAACAACTCCGTTAACAGTGTAACTGAATTTTCCGTTGCCCGGACGGCAACTCGGTTGTGGCAGCGAATAGACTCCTGCTGGAGGAATTTTCTCAGTCAATTGCTCTGTTGTCTCAACCGATGCAGCCGAATGCTCTCAGTCGCGATAACAGACATGTCGTTCATCGTCACCAAGGAGCTTTTCATTTCTGATCACTGAGTTTTCGCGTCCACATTCAGTCGCAGGAACCGAGATCTTTTTTCCGTGCAAAAAGGAAAGAGCTCAATTGTACATATATATATACATTGCAGGTACCATATTTTCTTTTCGCGATTAATCCTCGTGCACTCTCAACTTGAAGTGTATGCTTATATCGCAGGTCAAATACAGCGCGTTTTAATAGTAAGAGCTCTCTCTGTGAAAACGCGTCGTTCCCTCGCGCGTCACGTTGTAACTGCGGACTCTCGACGGCGGCAGTGGCGACGGATTTATTAATGTAATTGCCGGCGAAACCTTTTCGACTAATCTCATTAGGCGATATCGAGGATTGTTAAATACATGTACATAAGACGTCCGGCGGAGCGCGAGACGTTTCAATTGTTCGGAACGACGCGTTCGCGGATGGAATCTCGTTCGCTCTTGTGAAATCGAGAGACTGCTCGGTACGGAAAGAAGCGCCGAACGATGTCGGACAGCGGTGTCCGCCGAACATACACTGAGAAATGAATTTGGTTGAATTGAACCTGACAATGAGCAGCCAAGCGCGTTTTGTTTGAAGGAATTTCTGGTTATCTGAACGTCGATTGTGTACGGGAAAAAAGGAATAAGTTTCCGCAACTAAAAACAACATAGAGAAAGATTAGTCTTACAAATCAACGATAAATATTCTCATATATATAAGCAAGAATATTAGAATCTTCTTGGAAGATTTTCAGTCTTGATTTGATTGAATATGTATTGGTGCAAGTATTACTTGCACTCAATTCAAGACTAAAAATCTTCTAAGAATATTATAATATTTTTGCTTATATATATATGAGAATATCTATGATTGACTTATATATAACACTATTTTTTATGTAGCTGTCCATGTAATACTGTGAAAACTATTCCGTGATTTTTTTCCATGCGAAAACTAGAAATTTGATTTCCCCCAAACAGGAAGTTGATGTTGAATTTGCTCGTCAGATAGATTCAACCGAACTGATTTTGTATCGCCGACCGACTCGTTCGCGTGTCGTCAAGCGAGAACTTTGCGAATGGTCGACGAGGATATCGGCGCGTCGCGAGCATTCGCGAGAATTACGAATGCACTTCCGCCACTTAGCGCGACGTCTTCCGCATTAAAGCCACTCCAGTGACTCCGGGGAATTAAAGTGACGTCGAGTAAATAACCGCTCCTCCGACTTGTCCCGCCGGCCGACGTTGTCGCGGCACACACGCGGCGTTTACGTTAGCTTCTCGTTGCGTCATTACGGATATGCACTTGGAATTAATGATATTGCTTTTGCTTTTTTCCGCTAATTGTCCGCGCGCCTCGGCCTGCTTGCGGGAAGTCGAGGAACATTCGGTACTCACGGATAACGAGCGGGCCTCATCGCCGAGATATTAATATGGATACGAGGAGTTTAAGACTTCCGGAGTTAGCGATGGTCGCAGGCCAACTGCTTTGTCAATTGGCTTATTGCCCAGTTTTATNCCTCCCACCCTCCCGAACATTCCAACGTTTCCTTTTTTCTTTCTCAAACTTCCGCGCGCGTACGCGATCATTTATTTTATATAAATATATACATGCTCACGCATCTCCGTTCCGTCCCTCCTATCCGCGCTTGACCCGCTTTTCGCGCGAAGGGGAGAGGCAAAGTCGCGTTTCTCGCGCGCACAATCGTCTTCGAACGAGGAATCCGATTTCGCGACGCGACGCGAGTCTCGTTGTTCCCGAGATCCGTTCGAAATCAACCCCGAGCCTCGGCGGATAAAACGGCTCGCGTTGTCGACGGCCGCGGAATAACCGGCAACGGTTACGAGATCTGTAAACGGAATCTCGAGTCGGCTGTCGGATTGGTCAAGTGTATGTATGTGTGTGTTGCGCCTCGATACAGCCGTTCGAAGATAACTATCGCTTCTCAATAATGCGCGAAGTTCGTCGCGCGCGCGAAGCCGATGGTTGAGGATGTACTGCCCATTAGTGTCGTATTTTCAGTGGCGCATCAAAGGGCTGTTCATCAATTTAGTATTTATCAAGCAAAATTACGTTTCTATATTTATTTGACTACACTGTAAATCCAAGTGTGTTACTTTCACACGCACAAACGCCTTAAAATGATACATTTGGCTGAAGCTATTTTTTTATCGAGCTTTTCTCCCGATTTAGCTTACGTCATTTAAAATGTTTAGTCATTAACACGTTAAATGTTAAGTTAACACGTCCAATCATATCGACGTGATTTGAAACAGTAAGACACGTGTAAGAAGTGTGTAAGAAGAGCTTCAGCTAAAGGATTTGCAGTGTACATGAGTAAAAAATGTTAATTTGAAACGAAGTTGAGGTATACACAATATTATAAATACGAAAGTATTCTTTTCATTTTTAATTTATATTTTTTTATTTTTTATTTTTTTTATTAATGTAATATTTGCCATACAATCAGCTAATCTAATCGAGATGAACGGATAATATAAAAAAAGCAAAGGCACAAGTGCTTAAATATGTCCATATGTATGTATATTTCGAGTATTATTATAAGTTATGAATTTTATACCGCTGTATTCTCAAAACAAAATAGCCAATAATTCTGAAATTTCTGTATAAATTTCTGTACATTAATCTTTAATATCACAGTAGTTCTTCATCAGAATCTTTTTAGTTTGAAAAATATGAAAAATAGAAATGAAAAATAGCACGCTAATCTCAACGAACACTTATAAAAAGTATCGACTTTAGTCACAAGTATCTCAGCTCTTGAATGGTCAATCTTTTTCTAATTGCACGAACAATAAATTAGATAATATTTCAATGTGTACGCAGTGCAAGTTTTATAACATTCTTATTTCGTAAACTTATTTCGCCTTTAAAGTGGAATAACTTCTAGGCTCTGTATTACTGTCAAACTTTTGGTGTCACTTTTAAATCCAATGTAGACCAATTTGTTCATTATTTTAACTTATGGGTAATACATCCTTAAATCGGCCACGACGGATCTTCCTTCTACTTCCCTTTCATTTTCTCGATCGGACACCGAGAGATCGATACACGCAAACGCAGTAACGAGATTTCGAAAAGACGATCTCTTACCTAGAGGAACTGCCGATACTACTTATGCTGGCACCATCGGCTGTTCTTCTTTGTTCCCTCGACACGTCGCAGTCCGTGATGTCGCACTCCGAGGTGTCGGAATCGCTTAATCTCGAGGTGGTCGACGGCGGGCTGAGGTGACAATCTATCATGTCGTCGGGATCTTGATAATGCCTGCGGAGTGAGTAAAGTCGCATTAACGCGCCGCATAGCTCGCGATGTTGACGCGAAGGAGATCGTTTCAGTCTGAAAGCCGATCAAATACTTGGATTTCAATCGTTACACTGAGAGAAATTATAGTTACATCAACTATATACCCTTTTGTTGTTTTTATCACAAAAATAGTAGCAACATATATGTACTCTCGAAATTGCTCCAAGTGGAATCATATAAAATAAGCGACAATATTTTTATTCAAATCAATGGTGAAAATACTATCTGCTATCTATAATTCTTTCACTGTAATGATTACAGTTACAAATAATAATTACTTTTCTCTCAATATACGTGTGCTCAATGAGACGTATGGCACGGTCGGCGGGATGCGCGTCGACACGTAGCGCGTTAATACACACACGCTTACACAGATTTGATTGAATTCGCAATGACGTCGCGCGAGAGACGAATTTACTGACGGAGCGGGACGTAATGTAGTGAAACATTGTCGGGCGTTCCGCAAGAAATTCGTATCGACGCGAGGCATTTATTTGATCGCTTTTAGTATTGGCATCGGAACTACTAGCATTCGCGAGGGCGATTCATACCCGACGTGCCGGTGCTCCCCGTGAGCGGTCAGGGCATGCCATTCCGGTTCCTCGTATAAAGGACATACTGCCAATTCCAGGACAACCTCGCCGAGGAAATCGTTCGCCTCGTACCTCCCCGCGTAGTCCCACACCGTAATCTCTAATGCTCTTTTCCGCAGTTCCGTACGCCTGATTCCATTGTAAACGAAAATCTGATTCCATCTGGGATCGTTTGTATTCGCCACGGTCTTCGTGCGCCGCTTCGACTTCTCGCTACGGTGTTAAAATATTCACATGGACACTTCTCTCCCCCGCCTCCTTTGTTTTTTCGTTTTGTAATTTTTTCCTTCTTTTTTTTCTCGGCGGAAGAAGCGACGGACGTGCAACGGTGCGTAAAATGATCACTCGCGTAGATGCGATAAATTTATACAACACAACGGAACACATATATATATATTATGTATCGTAGAGCTGTGTTCCTTACGCACAACCGTGCGTGTTCTGAGAGAGAAGAAAGGAATTCCGAACCATCGATTCGCAAAATTCGCGCGTGTATCTATTCGAAGTTTCGAATGAGGGCGAGTTGAGTGAAAAAAAACGCGCACACTTTATTTATCCCCCGATCAATAATCGTTCTCTCCGCTCTGCCAAGATCTGTATTATTGAACATCGCGAGGAAGGTGTTCCCTCCTCCTCTTTTTCTGCTCACCTTTTGTCGGGCAGCAGGAAAACTTTGGCGTAGGGATTTCTAGGCTGGCCGTTGCTCCTCGGTGTGAGCCCCTCGGCGCAAACTATCGTGACGATCAACTGAAGTCCTACGGGATCGAAACCCAGCTTCACCTGAATACTACCGCCCACGTTCGCGTTTCCGGTCGGATGTCGGGAGTGTCGGCCGCGTCCTTGGGCATGCAGGTCCGGCGAGCCGGGCGACGTCACTAAAACCGACGGTTTCTCACGCCTCGCGTCGTACAATTCTGCAAGTGAGCATCGTGCGGTGTCGACTAGGATATAACTCGTTTCCGTACCTGCGGCTCTTGGAGCGATTTACAAGGGGATGCGTGAGAGAGTAATGAGAATGGGTGAAAAACGAGTTAACGTAAAAGTAGGACCGACCGGGTGCTTTTCGATGAACGGACAAAGTCTCGTGCTCTTGTACATTTTTCGACTAGTCGTTCGTGATACACTCAGAGAAAAAATTACTAATCTCACCAAGAAATTATAGTTACATTATCATTATAAAAAACATTACTAATTCTATAGTAACATTTATATTACACAAAAATGGCCCTTTTGATAATAATTCTTTCACTATGTAATTACAGTCACAAATATCAAAAACTTCTTTTCCTCTCTGCTCGGTGTAGTAAATATATTTATGATACTGACGTTTATGATATCCGAATAACAGATCGGCTCGAAAAGATATCCGAAAGACAACCTAATCGGTTCGAGAGATTAGAATGTCCATTGGACGTTCGTATTGACCAGGTGGTTTAGCTAAATCAAAGACGTGTGAAAGAGACGAAGACGACAGAAAGACGACATGCCATCAAAAGCCAAGCACAGGATTAATTAGTGTTGTTAACGAGAATTAATACTCGTAAGATTAGGATGATGAGTCAAATCTTTATTATAATAATATTCACAATAACATTTCTGTCGGATTTTCTTCAGTAAAATAAGTACAATTATTATGTCTTCATCATAAACATAAGCAGAATATTGTTAAGGCCAGAGGAACATGCCGCGCATATAACGATCATCGCGTGAACTCAGATAACTCTCGAATAAGCATAACGCTGGTGAAAAGATGCGCGGAAATACTTATGCTGAGATTTAAGCGAGATTACTACTTCGTCGTCCTGAGCACGCTTTCTTCTTGCTGATTTCCCTATACTGGCCCTGGTCGGAGGAAGTATGCCCGAGGCGATGGAATAATAACCTCGCTTCCCAGCGTAAGTATTTTTCCGCACGTCCTTTCATTTACATTATGCTATTACTCGCGAGTTATCTGCAATTCGCATGATGACCTTTGGAAGTGATACCAGCGGATAATATTGCTTGCTGATTTTTCTATACTGGTCCGCCGGAGAAAGCGTGCCCGAGGTGATGAAATATAATAACCGCGTTTTCCAGAATAAGTATAACCGTATATCTTTTTATTTACGTTATGCTTACTTGCGAAATATCTAAATTCACGTGATGACTTTTGACTCCGCGACACGTTCTTCTGGCCTTGATAGTATTTGCGTTCTGACCTTGCTTGTGTTTATAATGACGACCTAACAATACATTAATAATATATTAATAATAATATTGCACTGAAGAGAGTTACGAACAGAAATGTTTAATATTATTGTGAATATTATTATAATAAAGATTTGACTACATTCTAATCTTTTAGATACGAGTATTAATTCTCGTAGCACTGATTGATCTGTGGTTGGCTCTTGATGGCCTCTTTGATTTTCGTAGTTGCATTGAGTCTCTTATTCTTTGATTTGATTTCATCTTACACACCTCGGTTAACTAGATGACGTTGCGAAATTGATAAATTAAGATCTCTCTGAGGGGTTCCACGAACACCCGCGTCTCTTTCTCGAAGAAGAAGTGAACATGCACTGGTTCCCACAATCACGGTGATCCGCGGAGAACAACGGGACGACGCCAAGAAAGGCGGGAAGGAGTTGTCGTGATTAATAATGCCGGATCGGTATACACGTTAGACGGTGGCGGATATAACGAGAAAGTGTTCACACTTATTCGTAAGAGGGTCACACACAAAATACCGGTGACGTATTTAGACTCGTTAGAATTGGAGGAAAAGCGCTACACGAGAGGGATCTGTATAAATATCGGCGTCCTCGGATTTCATACATACATGTGATATACATATATGCATATATACACACATATATACAATTGTATGTATATAGTTGTTGCTCCCATAAGACTAATCGATGGTGCTGTTTAGCGGGGGTGCATTAGCACTACGATCTACGTCTACGTTAAAACATCGACGGTATGCATAAGGCAGAAGAGTATAAAAAGTAAATAATCGATCTTCTTCGTCGGTGACGTTCGTTGAGAATCGGAGGAGTCTCAACGAAACGGTCGCCGTTCGGTAAGAGAGAGAGACGAAAGACTAATGATACAGGGGAAAGAGAAACACCGACCAATAACCAATTGTGTTAAGGAACAATAGTTGTCTGAGGCCTACCCCACAGAATACATTTCTTAAGACCTGGAATACGAAAAATCATATAATCTATGACAATATAGCGTCGCTTTTCTAGTATCTTATTAATATACGCTTGCGCGGATGGGGTGCGAGAGGGAGTAATGAGAAGCGCGATTACGTGCGCGTAATCTTACACTATACCTGGGGAGATTACGTTTAATTGGATTTAATCGGTACCGATAAATATCTCATTTCAATCGGAATAATTAATTACCGGCTCGCCTATCAGGATTTTATCCGATTAAATCGTAGGGTATCGAGTGTACTGCACTTTTCGTCGCCCATTCGCGCGTAACTTTCCTTCATCATCCACACACGTATACCTTCGTATGAATGTGTGTGTGTATGAAAAATTTATGTGTTAAATAAAACGAAGCGCGAAATATACGGAAAATAATAATAATCCCAACTCGCAGTCGCGCGCGTACTTTTCTAACGAATCCTTTCTTTAGCGACTCCTCGACTACGCTACATGTCGACAAGCTGACTTATATACCTAAGAACGAACCACTCTCTTAAGATTGATTTCTCTCTATTGATTAAGATAATGGTCTGGCGCCATAAGCCCATGCACGACTACCGCAGGATGAAGTGTGTGTGTGACAGAGTAATGTATACTTCAAAGTCGTACGAAAGAGATCTCAAGTTCAAACAACAAGTCGACGATGGTGAGTGAAAGAAAAAAAAAAAAAAAAGAGAGACAAAGTGATCTAGATCGCGATTATACATCTGGTAGACACAAAAGCGAGAGATATCGAGTCGCGTGTGTCTGTATAATCACCTTTGTGATGCGGCTGCTGAGGTCCGGAGATGGTCTCGTGTTTCTGCCTCCATTGACTCTGAGCGACGATCCTCCTCGATGCCATCGGCGTCGACGGGCCCGGTCCTGCGGGCATCGCGCCTGTTGTCGTCGAAGACAAGTTTCGCGAAACTACGAGCTCGACTTGCGGCTCCATCCTCGACTCGCGGATGATCTCGGAAACGACATCGAAGCTCTTGCCCTGGAGGGACCTCCCATTCCACTTGATCACCTCGTCACCTGAAACAGCCGCAGGGAATACCCGAGAAATCGTCGAGCACCCGATTCGTTCCTGTGAACGGTCGCGGAAACTTGTTACGATTGTTACGGGCGGTCGCTTTCGTGGCGTTAAAGGCGCGAATCGTCGGGAATAGTTCAAGTGGTGGTCGATTCAAAGTCGATTCGCGCGAATCGAAGAAAGAATGATCGACGGGCCGCGGAAGTTATCTTGCAATTCGTTCATATTCGACTTTGCGCAATTTACTCAGCTCGAATGCGTCAGGTGGTTTATTTATCCGGAAATTTTCGCGATCCGTTTGAATTCCGCAATTAATCCCGCGGGTGCGTTACATCGCGATTTTTCACGACAAAGTGAGCGGCGTCGAAAGTATTTTTGGCACGTAGCAGAGAGCGACGGTGATTATCGCGCGAATGAAGCACCTCGCATTCGCCTGTGTGTATTATCAAGAGCAACGACTGCGTTTTGAGAATTCTCACTTGTTTCGAACTTTGTAATCCTCTTACCGGGTCTAAGTTGACCTTCTATGTCCGCCGTACTACCCTTTTTCACCTTCTCGATGAAAGCGCCCATGGAACCGTCTTCCAGTAGTTTGCCACCGACAACTTTTAGTCCGAGTATACTACTACCGCTCTCGGTGCCGGATTGCCGATTTGCCGATTTTCGCAAGACCATGTGGCCGATGATCTTCTGACCGTCTCTGCTCACTTGCCAGGATAACGGATGCTACGGAGCGCGGATAGTATTTCTTTTACTGATAATGGGTGTCTCATGCTTTCGTAAGCCAAAAGCAATAATGGAACGTACGTCCGAATTCTGGATGATAAATTCGCGAGTCGGGCGTTCTAACGCAACGCTGGCGGTTCCGATTTGCTCGGAAAGACTCTTTTTTTTTCAGGCGAAAGGATTGTACTCCTCAGTCTCCAGCATATCCGGCGCGTATTTCCATTAATGGTCTATTTTATCGAGTAAGACACAACTTTCGGGGATAATCGCAGGAGAGATTAGCTCGCAGGTCCTACGGAGAAATGTTTTGCGTCCGCATTCGACGTGCCAGCTTGCGACAAGACATTTCTCTTGCGCAGGATGCAAGGAAACTCAAGCATACAAAAGAAGCCAAGTATTATACGTCCTCTAAGACGCCAGGAGATCCGAGAGGATCTACACGCTTCGCCAAATATTATATATCGATATGAAAGAGATGTACAATTTTGATTAATTCAAAGAAGCACGTGAAAATGTCTGAGAAACGAGCGACGTAGCAATCTTACGAAATAATAGAAATCTCATCCGAAGCGTGTCTCTCTCGGTGACCTTGCCGACGAAGAGAAAGCCTGTCTACGAGGTAGGCGATCTACGGCCAAATAAAAACTGGGAGAATAGAATCGGCATTTACAGAGTAGCAAGCAACATGCACACACGTATATAAGAGCTACCACATGCAACGTATGCGAATAAAATTAGCGAATAATTGCGGCAGAAAAAAGAAACGTTCCGCAAGTACATCTCGCGGAGCCGACGAGACGTTCGCACGGGCTCTGAAAATTCGGATAGATACGTAAGGCATGCAAGTAGCAACAACTGCGTGATATTGTCGATACGCGCAACGATTCTGAGCGTGATGTCTCTTCCTGTCTGAGAACGACACGATATTCACCATAGGGTGGATCTACTTTCGGGAGAGGGGTTTCGCGCGCCTCCTTTCTACCTCTGTCGATCGCGATATTCCCTATCGTGCGACGAGAGTTCAACGACATAACGCGGCGATCCCATTTAGCGTCCCGACGCAACAAGCGGCGCGAAGAACGGGGTGGAACAGCGTAGTATAAAAATCTACGTCCTCTCGTAATCCATTTCTGCTTTTACGCCAGTGAAACACACTCCAGGCGATCCCACGCATCCACCAGAGACGCATTCCTACGGAAACGCACACCGATCTTACCGCAACGGCCAAACGCGCGCAATCGCGGGGGCGATAAGAACAAAAAGGAAAGAAAAATAGAAGAGAATCGCGAGACTGATCGACGAGACGACTAACGAGGTCGTCGAGTCTCGTCGGTCGCGATACCTCTTTGGCCGCGTTCCAATTTGATTAATTATGAAACAGGTACGCTTCTCTCGAGAAGCTGGCATCCTCGCTGGTCTTTTAATTGGATCGTTTTCGAGGTACCTCCGCGAAATCACGTCAAATTTCCCAGATTACGCGCTCGACAATCGTCGGGGCTTTTCAGCGCGCGCAAAGAAACCTCCCCGTTCGATCCGATCGCCGAGGTCGAAGGGGAAACTCGTACTGCTCACGGCAGTGTTCGGTTACCTCATTCTCACCCAGACACCCGCCGCGAAAATGAAAGCAAGCTCGGGCGGAAATAAGAGAGAAAAAGGGGAGGACGACGGAGCTCGAGTTACTCGACGAGAGATACGTAAGTCACGGCTGGATAAATGACTCGATCGTCGTGACCGTTTACTCGGAGAATTTAATCTCGGTTATTTGCCTCGTATAATTGGACCGCGACCCGTCCTCGCGTAGTTGTCGTCCTTCTGGTATATCGAGCGACGGGCACGCGATATCGTTGTCACCGCGTCTGTCGGAACAAAAATCATAGTCGCGTGAAGTCTTGATCGTACGGGAAAAAGCTTCCGAACGCGCGATTCATAACGCGGGGTGGGTTCTAGAGTCCCTAGAACACAGCCTGGCCACTGTTTATATTAGCCGGATTAATCTTTGTAATTAAATGGTGGAACCATTGAAGTACAAAAATGAGATAAATTTAAACAGAAGTAATATAAACGATAGAAATATAAATGATAGATAATTATAATCGTAGATATTTAATTATGTCATAAAAATAACATCATTCTATATTAATATGTTTATAAACCGTCACAAACATAATTTATAAACTAAGCAGTCTTCTAAAATTATATAGAATTAAATAAAAATCATTTAACTGTGTAGAATGCAAGGATATACCGTTTTGTTGTATTTTCTTCAGTTGATTTTAACTCCAGTCATTTTGACTTCTTTTACATTTACAGTAGACTCCCGTATAATGCGGTTAATACGTTACGCGCTATACGAATTCGCGTTGTATGAAATCGTGCTGTACGGGAATTTTTCTTGCATAACGCGTATAATCTCAAGTGACGTGTTTGAAATGACTATTGCTATGCCAACTTTTATTTTCTATGTTTTATCAAATAGGACAGTATTTAAAAAATAAGTGGCATATAGACGCAGTTAGTTAAAAAAAACCAATTATTAATATATGTAAAAAATATTTTATTTCATTGAAATTTAATAAAAATATAATTATACAAATTTATTTATTATGTTTTTTAAAATTTTAAACATTGAAAAATACTTTTCGTTATCGTTATGTTAAGAGTGACCGCGTCAAGAAACAAAACAACAATGAAACAGAAGAAGTCGGCGCTGTACGAAGAATTGCATCATATGAAAACAATAATCGCAATATCTTTGGCGCGTTATAGGGATTCGCGTTGAAAGAACTTGCGCTTTATGGAAGTCTACTGTATATTTTACTTATTTGTAATCATGTAGTTAGTCAACTATCTTCTAAGACTAGAATTCTAATTTCGGTCTGTTCCTTTCTATTGTAAATATGAAATACAAGTGTGTGATTTATAATTTACGGTACACATTAATTTAATATTGCAAGAAACGGTATAATAGTTTTATTTACTATAAAGTTAATTCTTTGTTCAGAACAATATACAATTCAGTCTAATAGATACGTGTTCCGTGTCGCAATAGACGCTATTTTACTACAAAATCTATTACAATGGTCAGATTCTAGGGATTTTAGATTCTACGAGTCTCTTCGCGTCGGGGAATTCCGGACGTTCGATATTGAATTGATTATCTGCAAACTCTTTTTTTCTCTCTCTCTCTCTCTCTCTCTCTCTCTCTCTTCACATTTTACGTTACGTGATATAACCTACGGGAATTTGACGATTCTCTGGGCGATCGTACTTTAAGTCGGCAGTGGCGTAAAAGAGAAATGAATGTCAGAAGTGGTTATTCATTGTTTAAAAGTAACACAAATCTCTTCTCGGGTCGCCGTTAAATCCACGTCATTTCAGGAACTCGAGGAAAATTACGACAGATTTTCGTCAAGAGAGGCGCGACGGAACGGATCGAAGATAAGTCTAACGTGAGAGAATTGTAGTACAGAAGACGATTAGCTACTCGAAACTTCTGAATTCACGGAGTATCTTCGATGAAACCGCGAGCGATGAAATCATTTCTCGTTCTCTTTCTCGCTGTTCCAACTTGAAGCGATGTAATTCGCCTTAATGAACGCATTATCCGTTAACAATAGGCATTATCCTGATAGACAAGATTCGCGCGAGACTCCGTGGCTTCAGTTACTGTGATTCGAGCGAACTCGAATTCGGTATTGGGCGTCGACGCTGTAAATTATACACGGAAAGCCGATGGAAAAAAAATCATACGAACAAATCTCTTTCTCCCACACACACACACATTCACTCACTCGAGATAAAAATACGTATATACAAGCATACAAGCCTTCAAAAGCTCGAAGTTTAGGGTTAATCGAGCAAAAGAGGTTCTTTCCCGTCGGCGCGAATGTAAGGAGGAAGGAGGAGGGGGGCGATAAAAACCAAACGTCCGGGGCGTTTAACTTCGTTACACATACGCCGTGAGTGTGTATCTATATGTGTATGTATGTGTGTCTCGCCCTTTCGAATCGCGCACGTCGATCGATACGATAGCTCGGATAGCGGGATCAATCGCGCGCGGCTCTCTCCCTCCCTGAAACCTCGGCTCTTCCGGCGTGTCACGTCGCTGCCACATTGTGCGTGTAATCCGAAAGTAACCAAACGCAAGTGTCGCACGCTAATTGCATCAATTACCAAGCCATCTTCAACGCCACTCTATTGAAGCGAGCAGCGAGAAAGAAAACAATTCCACTTTGGACGACGTGTTCCGGCCGGCTTTTGAATTCCGCCGCGATTAGCGTACGCTGAAGCAGCGCGCACCGAGCGTAATCGTTATCGAGAAAAAGTCCCCCCCCCC